ACCGAAACATCACAGTCCTTAGACTTCCACCCTGCCACTGGGAAATAAATCCAATTGAACTCATTTGGGCACAAATGAAAAGTTATGTGGCTAGAAAAAATACGTCATATAAAATACAAGTTGTACGTGAATTGTTATACGAGTCTTTACAACATATTACAGAACAAAACTGGAAAGATGCAGTAAAACATGTAATAGAAGAAGAACAAAAAATGTGGGATCTTGATAACCTAATTGATGTGACCGTAGAGACACAACCACTAATTATTAACCCTCAAGACGACTCGGATTCCGAAGTTGATTCTATTTATTTTGAATTTGAATAGTTTTCTAATCGTAATTATATAATGTAAGTAAAAGTAGTTGTAATCGTAAGGTATTAAAGGGGAAAGGCGCAAAATGTCGCCTGTCAAAATGTTCAATGTGTTTTAAATGTATCCATTTTTTTTCAAATCCTGAGAAAACTAAAAAGCATTTTTGAAAAATTTAAAGGCAGAATGAAATATTTGGTTGATTTTACCGAAAGTACAAGCTGAATATAGCCGTAAATGTCAAAAATTTTTCGGTTTGACAGTGTTGACATGTTTATAGAATGCATATGTCGTATGCTTCAAATATAAAGAGGGGAAGGTTTTAAAAAGTACATTTTGATTATACCATTTTATGTATTCTGCAATTTTTAATTTATATGAAACAATAACCAATAAATATTTGTCTCTTTCGAGATTAATTACAAACACCTGTTGCATTATGGCAACTGCTGATTTGACAATTGCCAAATCTATCCCCTAATCTATCAAAGGGTATTTGCTAAAAAAATGCAAACAGCATCTAATATAAAAACATGCCAACACTGCTAAACCAAAATTGTTTGTTCCATGTTTGACATTTGCAGCTATAATCAGCTTGTACTTTTGGTAAACCCAACCAAATATTTATTAGAATAAATAAAAAGTTTCTTTTGCATGCAATATTTTCAATTAAAAATTATATTTTTTTTAAATAAAAAGAAACTTTTTATTTTTGAATAAAATAAAGAAGTTTTATTAAAACAAAAATACAATTTAAAAAATATATTTATTTAGTTCAAAATAAATGTTTCAATCATATAGTCTACGACAATGGTCGGTCATCTGTAACCACAATACCTTCATAATCGGATTATAAGGTTGACTGTTGTGTTGTATTCCTACAGATACAAGGTGGGTTAGTCGAAAACATCTTAAACCGTCAGTGTCAGGTTGGTTTTTACTATTATATCATATTACCTATCCTCTCTGTATTTCAGTTCTCTAATTAGGATTAAACTTGTAGTGAGCTATCGACAAATTGTGAACCGATTATTCATAAAAGATTACTTTCATCATCATCGCAAAGTTTAATTACTGATTACTTTGTCAGAAAAGGAAGAGCTACACAGAACGAGAATGAAGTTTGTGAAAATACATCGCCTTTTTAGAGACAGTTTTTTCTGACTATGAAGATGATTTGGAGCCACTTCTTAAACAGTGTAAACCATTATCAGATAGTTATAATGCTTAAAAACATAAATGTAAATATGTATCTATTACTTTCCCATAAAATAAAATAAATTAAGTTTTGGAAATAAGTTTTTTAAACGTTTGTATGAATTTCTTTCAGATATTCGAAGTAATTTATCATATAGCCTTTTTCTTTTAATGTCTGTAAACTTTTTTGGTTTTGTCTGGGTTTTATGTAATTTTAGAAGGCTACGGAACGTATTCCTACTTTTTCAAGGCAAGTATTTTTATACGATTTCTTTATATGCTCTTTTTTGTGTAACGTATTCACCGCATAAAACGAGAGCTTGTTGATATACTTTTTTGAGGTGTTTTTTCAGTCTTTGTTGTAGTCTGTTGTGTTTCTTTATTTTTCCCAAAACTTATTTTGCAACATTCGTACAGACAAATATTTTATATAACATTTTACCGTTATATTTTAAAATAACTACAAATCAGTCAACCTTTTTATACATCACTTTTATCGGCCCTTCACAAACTGTTTCCTGCTTCCTGTTTATAAATCAGTGCAGTGCTTGCTTTAATGACAATTTTTTCTGTGTTTATTGTAACACTTCGTAAAAATGAAGTATTTAGAAAGCCAGCATTTGTTGGCTTTCCAATAATAATTGTTAACTTTTAGTTGTTAGTTGAATACCCGTAGAGCGATTGAACTGCAAAGATGGATGGTCATTTTTTATTATGTCGTCAGGTGTTTGAATGGATATGTATGTTTAAATTTGCATAAATTAAATTAAAATATCTTTTCGCAGTTAATAAGCACTCTACTTCCATTTATGTTTGCTGGTTGACGTAGGCTTCATTTGACAGTTCCTATATCTTACGGCTTTATGCAATTTTTCGATATCATGTTTTTTGTTTACCTTTTCATTTATATAAACCAGTGCGTTTCAACCCACAGATTTCTGCGGACCAATTATAAGATCAGCCATTACATTATAGACCAGTAAAGAAAAAGAAATCAGCTGAAAAAATCTTACAGGTTTATGAAGGTTCTGAAAGGTACGTGAGGGATAGCTGATGACAAATTCTTGAAGATGTACAGTTAATCCTGCTTTGTTGTTTTTTTAGACAATCATAAAAAAATGAAAAAAAATCATCTTTTGCGTATAACCGTTTTTTGCATTTAAAGAAAAAATAATTCAAATAAAAGTTGTAGATCGTAAAAAGTTCTTATTAAAATTAAAAAACATAAACAATTGACCGAGATTAATGAAAAAACTCTTATTTTTGCAGGAATTTATAAATGTTAATAACTTTGTTTTTTTGCATAATGACATGTAATGTAACTACTTTTTTTTGTGGCATAGACTTTCGTCATTCAGCAAGTCTCGAAAGGTTATATATTCCAAGAAAGTATACAGGGCTAGTCAAAAGTCCGTTCCCGCCCTCGTATCTTTTGAACGGTTATTGTTATAATAGTGAAATTTGGTGGGAGGTAATAAACAGTCTTAGGCTTCTCAACTAGTCATAACAGGTGACGTAATAGTGACAGATGACGTAACAGCGCCACTGTGGTAGATAATTTTAAATGGGACCTTTATGGCAAGTGATACACCGTTTGAAAGGTATTGAAAATACCTATTCAGTTATAATAATTTTGTTTGAGTTTAAGCTAATTTAGATGAATAAATTAAATAAATACTAAAATTGTAGCTTCTCATTTAATTGATAAATATTTAATAACCAGTTCTTCTAGTAAGTGTTCAAAATGTGCTCCATCTACTTCCTGACAGTAATGCTTCCTATTTCTAAACTCTTGCCGTACTCGTTCAAATGTGTCGGGGGAAATTGCCCTACATTCTTCAACAATTCGTTCTTTGAAAATGTCAATATTGTCGGTTGCTGTAGCGTAAACTTTAGATTTTAAGTATCCCCACAGAAAAAAAATCTAATGGTGTGAGGTCCGGTGACCGAGCTGGCCATTCTTTCGTACTTCGTCGTCCAATCCATCTACCACGATATTCCTCATCTAGGTAACGTCTTACTGCACCATAATGGTGTGCAGGGGCACCATCTTGTTGAAACGTTATTTCCAAGTTACCGAATTCATCTGGATTATCCTCCAGAATTTCAAGTATTAATGGTTCAATTACATTTTGTAACATCTCTAGATACACTTCACCGGTTAAATTAGTATTGCTAAAAACAGGCCCAACTATGTGGTTTCCCAAAATACTTGGCCAAACATTTATTTTTTTTTAAATTCAATATGTGTTTCACGAAAGACATGAGGATATGTGTCACTCCCAATACCTCACATTGTGTGTGTGTTAACATTTCCATTGAGAGAAAAAGTACTTTTGTCACTAAAACAAATTGTTTTTATGTAATTGGGCTGTTGGTTAATTTTATTGGACATATTTTTACAGAATTCTAGTCTTCGGTTGGGGTCATCATCTGAAAGTTGGTGCACAATGTTTAATTTGTATGGATGAAATTTGTTTTGAGCCAACACTCAGTGTACTTTGTCTTTTGACTAATTTAATTTTTTTGTCATCACTAATAATTGTTGGTCGACCAGATCGTTTGATATCTTGAACACTACCTGTTTGTTTAAACTTCCGAAGAAGCTTTCTCAAATAAGATCTCGATATATCCGCTGCATGGAAATTATTTTCACATTCACCAATTATCACAGCTGCTATTTTGTCGGCTGCAGTACGTACCATTCTGCCTTTGTAAAAATTTAAACGTCTCGTTAAACAATAATTAAACTAAATATTAACTAAGAACAACTAACTAAAAACAACTTGACTAAACTTAAATTGACCAAACTAAGTAGAAACAGAAACTAAATATTGGGCTATAAACGCTTTTGCAAACTAAAATCAACTAGAGAATTGACAAACGTCAATTTTTTTTGCCAAATAACTAAAGGCTGACGTTAGAATTAAATGCCAAATTAGAATTTTAGTATTTATTTAATTTATTCGTCAAAAGCATCTTAAATCCAAACAAAATTAGGATGATTGAATAGGTATATTAAAATAATTGTAGTTTTGCATTTAATCAATAAATATTCTAACGCAGAATGGAGCCATTCTGTCTCCGGCTTCTATATAACATGTAGCTTCTCCTTTTTAAAAAATTTAAAGTGTTTGTTTGTCTTTGTGTATTGTATTGTTATGTCCAAATTTACATGTATGACATTCTACTCATGTCGGATAGGCCACAACTGACGAAATGCCCTGAAGATGATCTATTGATCGAAAGTACTTGGGCAAGATTTAATTAATTACTGTGTTCGATAGTTGCCTTGTATACTATCAAAGTTTAAATTCATATATAATCACTTTCGGTAATCCGGACGCTTGTGGTAATTCGACATCACTTTGGTCCCATACCTATCGGATCATCAAGGGACAACTGTATTTTATTAAATATTATAAGATAGTAACCTCATAAAGTGTACATATTGTACGTTTTTGTTTTTAAACTTTACGTTTTTTGTTTCAGGATCTCCCTACGAAATCACATAGTACGTGTAGCGATGGATCGTTACATAGTATGGGTAGTTATGATGATGACGTAAGTATTGGAATTTATTTATTATTTGGTTAAACTATTTAAATACATATTTACATTGGAGTAAATATTTGAATACTGTTGCATGTATAGATAATTCCTGAGAATTTATTGACGATATTGTTGATAAAAATATAGTCTAGGTGTTTTCATTTAAACTAACAAAATAAAAAGACAATTACTATAGGAAAAACTTATTTTCTTGTTTATATTTTTTGCACAAACGATTAACTTTCGTATGTCTCCATTTTTTACTTTTTCTTAAGGTTCCCTTTCCGTTACTGAAGGTTGGCTATAACTACAGCAAATTGCTCTCTATCTTGAGCAGTTCTTAGTATCGAGATGCCATGCCTGTCCAGTCTCTTACATTCTTCAACCAGGAGCATTTTCTTCTTCCTTCCACTTTCCCTTCCATTATCAGTCGTAGGGAGTTGTATTTTCTCCTCTGTAAACATGTCCTAGATCACTTGTTTTTCTGGTTTTTACAATATTTAGAAGTTCTCTCTTAGTCCCCATTCTTCTGAAAAACCCACATCTCAAAGGCTTCTACACGTCTCATACTTGTGATTTCGAGAGTCCATGTTTCTACTCCGTATAGCAATATGTAATAAATAAATGTTTTTATATATATTACAGGATCCAATTTGTAAATAGAATACATCTTGGAGACGGCTATCGCCGTATTCCCGTCCTCCTCCGCCAATCCTCTCGGTCCAAGGCATGCTCCTCCTCTAAACCTCTCGATTCCATTGCTCTTCTAATACCTTCATTCCATGAGCGTCGAGGTCTACCTCTTTTTCTTCTACCAGGGGGCTTCCATCTGTGAAGTTTTTGGGGCCAACGTTCGTCAGGCATTCTTAACAGGTGTCCAAACCATTTTAAACCTCTTCTTTCTATTCTGTCTATGACCGTATCTGTAGCATTCATCTGATTTCTTATAGATTCGTTGGTTTTTTTTTCCAGCCTTGATGTTCTAGCACTTCTTCTCAAATAATCCATTTCAACTGCCAACAATCTTCTTTTCAGGTCTGCATTAATTGTCCATACTTCAGAGCCATAACAAAGAACTGATTCAACCATCGTTTGCCCTATTCTTTTTTTGTTCCTTTTGGAAATGTTGCGATCCCACCATAAGGAGTTCAAACATCCTACAATTTTACGTCCCTGATTAATTCGGTGTTTAATTTCGGTTTCACCCAAGCCGTTCTTATCAATGAATGCACCTAAATATTTAAATTTTTCCACTTGTGTGATTTCCACGTCCTCGTCTATCAACACTTCAAACCTTGCATCTGAATTGATAACTAGATATTCCGTTTTCTTCATGCTGACTTTTAACCCCCATTTTACATATTCTCTATATAAACGCTTTATCATAAATTCTAGATCATAAGAATCTTAAGCTAGAACGACTTGGTTATCCGCAAAATTCAGGGAAAACAGTACGTCATTTCCTATTGGGATTCCCATTCCTTGGCAGTGGTTTTTCCAATAAATGTTTTTACCAATTTGTATCGGATATCCAACGATAAGGTAGAGTTTATCAGGAATTTGCTAAACAGTGGTTAGACCTTTCTAACCAGTACAGGGTCAAAATTTATTTTAGTTTATTTTCCAGAAATACAGGGTCAAAATTTTCATTGGAAGGCATTTCTCTGTAGTTTTTAGCTAATGTATTAACAATTTTAAGAGGAGAGGTGACAATTTCATTACCTATTTTGAGACTAGATATTGGGGATGACTTCCATACTTCACTTACAGGAGTGGAGCTGTTAATGCTAGGGACATATTAGGCCCAACTGGATTTTTTTGTATGATTTATTAAACGTTGAGCTCCAGTTTCTTTGTAGTTAATTTTATTTTCGAGTGTTTTATGCTTATTATCTATTAAAAGCTGTTCTACTCTCACGTACTGCTTCGTTACACTCCGAATTCCACGAAGGCACAGGAACAGGATTTTTAGTGGGTTTTGTTTTGCTGATAAAGAGATCCGCACTCTGCAAGATGACACTATTAAAAGTACCTAAAGAATCGTTTATATTATCATTCAGTATGAGACTCTCCAAAGCCTTATCTATATAATTTTCAAAATCGATCCACTTAGCCGAATTTATATTCCATTTATACCTATTCGCTACCATAAGTATACTCGAGAACAGTCCAAGAGAGACACGGAGCAAGACCTGGATCACAGAAGCTTAAATCTATCACGGAGGATTCTCCAGAGCAGATGTTAAATCTTGTAGGTGACCCATCATTTAGGAAATTTAATTGAAGATCCTGCATTACCTTTTCTAGAAGTTTTCCTCTGTGATCAGTACGCTTAAATATGTATGTCAAATTCTTGATTGGTGTTTAGCAGTAAAACATCTAAAAAGCATGTACAGTGTACTCTCCTTTCGAAATAAATGTATTCATACTTGTAAATGTTTCCATGCCCTGTCATCTGTATTTCGGTATATTTGTTGTATGTTCCAACACTCAAAATTCGGTGTTAATTTCTTTGCTCGGCAAAGTCATTAGAATAATTATGTAAGGTGTAAGTTTGTCACATTTTGCTAAAAAAAATAAGTTTTATTATCTTATATAAGAGAACTATCTTGCTCTCATCTCATATATATTTCTTTATTATTCTATAGTCTAATCTATCTAATTAGCCTTCTTCGGTCCATCTTTGGACATAGGCCTCCCCAATCCTTTTCCATTCTTCTCTGTCTGTCGCTACGGTCATCCATCTAGAGCCCACGTGCTTCTTGATATCATCTGCCCATCTCATTTGGGGCCTTCCTCTGCTTCGTTTATATTCCCACGGTCTCCAACTTATAAGAATTTTGTTCCATCGGTCTTCTTTTTGTCTTATATTGTGTCCGGCAAATCACCATTTCAATTTTGCAACTTCTTGTCTAACATCCCTCACTTTTGTTTTCTCTCTTGTCCACTCGTTTCTCTTCTTATCCATTAGTCTTATGTGCAGCATGTGTCTTTCCATTGCTCTTTGGGTTTTTATGATTTTGTCCATGTTTGCTTTTGTAAATGTCCACGTTTGGGAGCCATACGTAAGAACAGGGAGTACGCATTGATTATATACTTTGGTCTTAAGATGCTGTGGATATCTTTTGTTTTTAAGAATGTAGCATAGTTTGCCAAATGCCGCCCATGCCAGTCTAACTCGTCTCTTGATCTCTGCTGTTTGGTTCTCTTTGTTAAGTTTTATAGTTTGACCAAGATATATATATATATATATATATATATATATATATATATATATATATATAATCCTTAACTTGTTCTATTTCATCTTGTCTGTTTCTCATTGTGATGTCTTCATCTGTATTTGTTATAGTTTTGATCTTGCTGTAATTCATATTAAGGCCTATCTTTCCAGCTTCTACGTCCAGTTCTTTCATCATTTCAAATAATTCTTCTTTTTTATCGGTTATCAATACGATGTCATCAGCGTACCTTAGATGGTTCAAGCGTTGTCCACAAATTTTTATACCTTTTTTTTCCCATTCTAATCTTTTAAAAGTATCTTCAAGAGCCTGATTGAAAAGTTTCGGTGATATTGTATCACCCTGTCTCACGCCTCTACTTATTTGTAATGATTTTGTTCCTTCATATACTTTAATTGTTGTTTTGGCTTCCTTATATATATTGGTTATTAGTTCCGTATATCTGTGGTCAATTCGGCTGTTAATCAAAGAACTTTTCACTGCCCAATGTTCGACACTGTCGAAAGCCTTTTCGAAATCTATGAACGCCATATATAGAGGAATGTGGTATTCATTTGCTCGTTCCATAAGTATTTTCATACTTAGTAAATGGTCACTTGTGCTGAATCCCTTTCTAAAACCAGCTTGTTCTTTCGACTGGTATCCATCGAATTTTGTCGTCAATCTATTGGTTAAAATTTTTGTTACGAGTTTATACATTACATTGAGGAGTGTTATAGGACGGTAGTTTTTTATATCTGCTTTATCCCCTTTCTTGTGTCGGATAATGGTTACTGATTCCTTCCAGTTGTTTGGGATTTTTTTTTCTTTTAATATCCTGTTAAAAAGGGAATGTAGAGTATTAATTACCGCTTTTACACCATATTTCAGCATCTCTGTAGTTACTCCATCTTTTCCAGGCAATTTGTTGTTTTTCATTTCTTTCAATGCCTTCTTTATTTCTGATTTGCTTATTTCGGGCTGCAGCTCTGAGTTGACATTTTTTATTTTGACCTTAAGTTGGTTTTTAATTTCTTCTGGTGGTTCCTTTTTTGTTTTATATAATTCTGAGTAGAAATGGTGGATTATATTTATGATGTCATCTTTAACGTTTGTTTCTATTCCATTTACATCTTTTATTTTGTTTATTTCAAACTTACCTAATTTCGGCCTTAAGCATTTTATATTTTTGTTGTTTTGTATTACTTCTTCTATTTTTATTTCTTGTTCTTTTCTCTTATTTTCTTTTATCATTCTGCTTATTGTTTTATTAATTTCTACATATTCTATAGATTTCCTTTTGCTTTCTTCGTTCAGCTTCCTTCTTTTATCCATAAGCTTCTTTGTTTCTGTTGATATATAGTTGTTCTTTTTTAGATCCTTCTTTGCTATTTCTTTTCCTGATGTAATCATTGTTGCTGTAAGTATGTTGTCTATTTCGTCTATATCTTTATCGTCACTGTCTAATCTTTGGGTAAGTTGTTTTTTTAATAGGTCTTCGTATATCTCTTTATATTGAACTAGTTTGTTTCTATCTACTAGATTCCAGTTTCTACTTATTTTTCTTTTCATCTCATAGTTACCGTCAATACTAATTTTTGCTCTGACCATCTTGTGATCGCTACCTGTTGTGAATCTGTTAAGAACTGTTACATCTTTAATGATATATCGTTCCGTGGACAGTATGTAGTCGATCTCATTTTTTGTGGATCCATTAGGGCTGATCCATGTCCACTTTCGTTGGGGCTTCTTTTTGTAAAAGGAGTTCATTGCGTATAGATGCTTTTCTTCTAGGTAGTTCATCAAAGTATCACCTCTATCATTTCTCTGGCCATACCCGAAATCTAATATTTTAGTTTCTTCTTTGTTTAGTTTTTTATTAATATTATTCTATAGTAGTACGATCAATATATATTTTCTCTTTTTCAGTATCATTCTTGATAATATTTACTGTTATAGGAATCCTTTGAATACGTGCAATCAAGACATTCCTCGAAATTATCGTTGCATGATAAGAAAGGTAAGGAATTTTATATTTTTTTCTCTTTTGTATGCCATCAAATATTACGAACGATGAACATGTAGATCTTTTATCAGCTATAGCTTTATTAAATTATTGTTCTTTTAGATTCGGACTCAGAATTCGGACTCAGTTCTACAGCCTCACCTCTTAACCATAGCGCAGCACACCATAGAGTATCGGTAATGCCAAAAAGGACACATGGAGCGCCGAGAAGAAAACGAACGCAACAGGTACGTTTTTTATAATATTTTTAAGAACTTTAAGAGTGATTGCTGTTATTGCTTACATCGTTATCGAACATTCTAAGTCAAAACTTAGGTCAAAAGATTAGTTGGTTCATTAAAAAGAAAATATGTTAGGAAAGCCTGTTCGGAAAATAATGCTCCTACTGAACTATTTTGGGTAGAAATCTTATTACAGATCGTAATTATTGAAAATGTGTATAATGTCTATAAACAATAAATCATTATATAATAATTCTTGAAGCAACCATATATCCAAGGGAAACTGAGTTGACCATCTATAAGCAGGACCCTCTGACCGCTATAAGCATATGAGACCAATATAAGAAGAAGACAGATAATTAAAACAATATTTTATATAATAATTCATTTATTCAAAAGTCATTCCAAGTTTTGACAAAGTGTAGACTAAATTTCTGTGAGGTCATTCTGTGGCGTCTCTATCACTATTGAGAACTTGCGAGTTAAGCTAATGATGTGTTATATTTTCTCTAAACTACTCTAGAAAATTTAAGCTTGGATCCTAAGCACGGTAACTTTTGAGAAACTCTATAATATAAATAACAAACAACGAAGCAATGAGAAGAATAAATAACAGAATGGAAAGAATAGAAAACACAAAGCTACAATACGTGGGATATAGTTTTCGTGGGGAAAGGCATCTCATGGCTGGTTAACATTAAAGAATGAATAACTGAATGAATGAAAGAATAGCAGGGTATATTTATTCAATATTTGAAGTGCCCGGAAGTAAAAAATGGTAAGGGACAATAAAGAAGATCTGAGTTTTGAAGTATTGAATTTAAAAAAAAAAATTTATATTTTTTATTAAAAAATATAAGACTATGAATCTAAATGTTAAAATTAGCTGATTATATTGTTAATCAGCAGGCAAAATATGAAATACCAAATTTTTTTACAATGTTTTTTACAAAGGAAAATATGAAAATATGTACTACAACTTTACATGATTTACCTAAAATATTTGAAAAAGTTTAACGTAACATGTTAAGTGTTGTTCACTTATCATAATTTGGTAGGTACTGGGATTTTATTTTAAATTTACATTCGTGATAAACAGCTGGAATCCATTCCAAGAATGATTTTACATCTTTCAGTTTTTCTGGATGAATACTAAGGGGATGATTATTCTTCATAATTTTCTACAACAGAAAAGCCTTTCTCGGTTGGCAACATTGTATGTCCTACCTGAGGAAATACAGTAAAACCTCCTTTAACCGAAACCTTTTTAACCGAAACATCGTTTAACCGAAACCGCTAACAGTTTCAATAATTTCGGCAATAATCAGTAAATTTTTATCGCAAAACGTAAACAATTTCATTAATTTCACTCGCCGATTGATGCCGACGTGTGTTGGGAAATAAAAAAAAAACTAAGAGCTTTAAAAGATATCTGAACACTTCCAGTTTTTATAGAAGCCAAAAAAGCTCATGTATGTCGACCACTTTATTTTCAGAATGGTTCTAAAATGAATTCATCCCAAGTGTAAAATCCTTTTTAAAATAAAAAAACTTCCCATCAAAGCATTGTTGCTTGTTGACAATGCGCCAACTCACCCTCAAAATCTACACAATAGTAATAATTGTCAGATTTTTGCCACCGAATGCCGCGAGCATTATTCAGCTACACAGAGACCCGGGAGTAATAGAGATATTCAAGAGACATTATAGAGGAGCATTATTAAGACATCTGTTATAACAGGAGATGAATTAATCTAAAATTGTTCCAGAAATTCTCAAATTTTCAACAATGAAACATGTTGTTTATCGTTGTGCTGAGTTCTGGGCCAAGATCAACCCTTTAACTTTGGAAAAATTCTGGAACTAACTTTTTGATTGGATTTTGATTGACGATCCTGAAGAAGAAAGTGGTAAAGAAACGACAGAAGAAATTAAACCTTTAATAAAAAATTTGAGGGGATGTGACGAAATTAACCAAGAAGAGATATGTGAGTGGTTAGCAGCCGATGACTCAGAAAGTGAATTCATCGACCAGGACATCATTGATATGGTTCTTCGTCCAGACAACCTGAGCGTATCAGACGGCGAATATGACGATCCAACAGACAACAGGCAGCGTGAGACCGACGACGAGATTTTCAATGCCTTAAGGAAAAGAATTTTATACAGTAGGCCTAATTAGTAGGACACGACTAAGTTCTTAATTTTTGTTGTCATTGTATAAAGTTTTGTCCTTTTCAGATTGCTTTACGTTTCGTCGAACGATGGAATAAGGCAAACTCACGACGTTCTGCAAATGAACGATGGAGATATATAGCTGCAAAATTTTCCTTAATTTTTTTACTTTATTCTGTATTTACTTATTAGAAAACATTACGAAATCACCACATAGTATTTTTGAATACCCATACTTTAACCAAGAATACTATAAAAAACAATGTTATTTTTAACCGAAATTCTTGTTATTCGAAACGGCTTCCCCCCCAATTATTTCGGTTAACGGAGGTTTTACTGTATATGAATTATTTTTTTAAAATAGCCATTTTGTAGAAGATAAAACCAAATAGCAATGGTGGTTTAGTTTTTCTTTTCTACCACAAATATTATTTTTCTCAAAGTACATTTTGAGACAGCTAGATTTCGTCCGACCATCTTTTAGCAGTGGATTCATCCCACATAAAAAAGTGACCCAGACCATTTCCAAGGGACTTAGTTATAGCGCCACAGTTTTCTCTTATAGAACATGAGACCGATGGTAATCTTTGGCGTGGGATGGGTTTGCTGTACATCAAACCTTAGTGCATGCACATCTGGGTTTAAGTTTGCTTCATCTACTGCGTCTCTGACTGCCTGTTGACCTGCTTAAGCTTTTCTATGATGTAATTCTTGTTCAGTTTTAATTTTTTCAACCTCAGTTTCATCATTGTGTAACTTAGCATTTTCTAAAGCTACTGAAAACTTATCGTACGCTTGACATGTATCCATTTTTGGAATTTTGAAACTTATATTCTTCTGAATTTATCTGCAGAAACTGGAGTTTTTTTTTCAAAATGCTTTCTACACATTTCTCATAAAAAGTCTGAATAGAATATTCCATACTCATATATTGTCTAGAGCTGTTAGCACGGGTGTAATGGCTTTTGTACTTAGGTAAGCTTTCATTAAAAGATTTCAGAAAATCTATATCAGAATTGGAATATTTTTTAGGATGATTTGAATTTCGACTTCTTAGATCTGATTTTGCAGTATTTGATCCGGTTTTTAATTCTTTTACTAAATTTTCAACTCTACCTCGATTTATCTGTAAGCCATGGATACTTAAGAAAACCATTTTGCATGCCTTAACATCTTTTCCTTGTGATTTTAATTTATATTCAATAGTTTGAGATCTTTTTGACACTAGTGCTTTAGTTTTCTTCCTAATCATATTTTTAGATCTCATACAACCTTGTAAATAAGTATTTTGTGTATCAAAACTGTTCATGCCCCAAAAATTAACAGCAATTGTCTGAAGTTCTTTATGAGATACAAATAACTCATAGCATTTATAGGGACAAGTACACGGTAGACCTTGTGCTTTTGATAAATTAATATTTCCCTTGCTGTATTGTATTGTACTGTATTTCTGAGCTCTTTCGTTTTTAATTGCTTACTTGAATTGTGTTTTCTTTCTCTAGATTTTGTTTCTGAAACAGAATCTTCTTTTTTTGTTTACTGTGTTCATTTAATTCTATTCGATTTTCTTCTTCGTCTTTTTTTCTCCCATTCTTCTTGTACTAGACTATGGGTATGTGTGAGAAGAAATTTCTTGAAGTCCATGTTCTTTCAAAAATTTTCTAAAACATAATTAAAAATAATAAGTATTATAGCGCTGCAGAGATTTCATTTTTATATTTGCAAGTAAAAAATGTTAGGTTTTTATGTAAAGTGAATGTGGGTGTAAACAATGTTAAGTACATTCTTTACGATTTTTCACTTGCAAACAATTATTTTAAGAATATAAATAAATTACCTTCTTTGTAGTTAATCGTTAATCGAGCTATTTTATAGTTTTAATAAATATTTTAAATTCAGGATCTTTATCCGAGTCTTAATCATCGTAGTTCTCAGAATTTTCACTATTAACATAAAAAAGAAATTTAGATTTGAACATCCCTGCTTTTTCTTCCGCCGTCATGGACACAACACAATTTTCATGCTTATTGCTTATGCATGTCTCTTATTACTAAATTAATTAATACTAAATTATAAGAAATTAATCTGGCGCCATCTATTATTCGGAGGATAAAATAAGTCAAGTTTTCTGCGTTGCCATGTCCCTTGCCATCTTTAACATAATATTTCGGAAAAAATCAAAATTTGTTCATTACCATTATTTACTACCGAGACTTTATAAAGTAATTTTAATACCTTGTGTTTTTAATTTGTAATTTTAATAGTAATTAAAAGCTGTAACTAAAATTGGCATTGTAATCTTTTCAGCTTTCCACGGCACTACCAGTCACACCAGAAGTCAATGAAGATTCGTCAATTAGAAGTACATCACCAGAAGTACATAAAAAAGGTAATAAGGACAGCCTGTTGCTAAATTTTGTGTTTGGTTATGTCAAACGTCGTATTAAATGGTTTATCAAAAGAACATTTTTACAATATTTTTTAAAGAAAATATTATATATTCCATTTGATACAAACACATTTGGCATATCCTTTGGCTTTGCTCTAGCTTGGCAATTTTGTGCTTTTGTAAGTTTCATTGTTATATAATAAGATGGATGTGAATATCTTATGGACGATATAAAAACAGCAAAATGACTAGATCTATAGATAATAAATCAGTAAAATAGAATGAATAATGAATAATAGTAAGGACTTCTCACCTTCTAGATCTTGATTGAGCTTTATATATTTCGATATCTAGGTTTATATCAAAGTTAGTTTACAATCTTCTAAGATTCCTTTTGATAAAGTCTACCTACTGTAGGTCCTGTAAGATACTGTAGGTACTAACAATTTTTTCATAAAGCATTCTATCAAACTCTCCAGATATACTTGAGATAAATTACTAACTCTAAGCAATGCTTTCTTTTTCCCTTGTCATACTGGTTCATATCTCTTCCTGCGTTATAATAACTACTAATAATACCCCATAGAATTCCACAATTTCAAGTATGGAGAATAGCATTGCCTACATTTTTTCTAAATAAGTTGTTTTGTATATTCTATACCATAATGGAATCAATCTGCCTACTCCCCTCACCTCGTCACGTACCAGCATCTTATTCTGTAGAAATACATGAACCGTCAAACGGCACTGAGGTCTCAGTGTGTTACTGAAAAAGTAAAATAATAACCTTCGTATATTGTGAATAATTTTTTACATACCCATTTACTAATATTGTTCCGCATGTGTGCTTCCCCTAATGCCAAACTTTTGCTTTGCAGAGTCCCTAATCGAACTTTATAGCATGAGTTCAACAATTCTAACAGAAACTCAACTAAAATGTTCTTCTTTACCGCCTGGCCTTACTCCGCCAGGTGCCGTAGATAGCAAGTTGAACCGAAGCAAGTCGAATGCCGGGAGCAAGTCGCAAGACCTCTTCTCTCAGTTACCGGAAGACGCCAACGAAAAGGAAGAGAAACTCTCCCTATTCGACAGGATATTCCCGAGAAAGAGCGGAAGGAAGAAGAAGAAGGAAGGGAAAGAGAAAGCTGACGAGCAGGTTGTTGAGAGCTTCGAGCAAGGTAAATTTCGGCAGAGGAATACTGTAGATTTTTAGATTGTGTGAAAATAAAAGTTCTAAAAAAACTAGTGTTTGTAGCTTCTATATTATTGAATTCCTGTGTATACGTTATACAGGGTGTTTCAAAAAGATGTCATAAATTAAATCACGCATTCCAGGGACAAAAATAAATTGATTGAATCCAACTTACCTAAGTACAAAAGTGTACACAAAAAAGTTACAGCTCTTTGAAATTACAAAATAAAATTTTTTTTTGCATTATTTCCTAAACTACTTGTCATTTGGTAATACAAATGGACACGTTAATTTCTTGTTCTGAAAGTATTTTTCGTACAAAAGAAACAACAAAAAACACAGAAAAATTTTAAGGGGGGTGTGCAGCCCTAAAACCCGCCCCCCCCCCCCAAAGTTTTGAGTACCGGGTGGTCCAATAAGCCGATCTCTCGGCTATATATCAGAAACTATTTATGTTGTAACTTTAGGAAAAAAAAACCATTAGTAAAAGTGGCCAAGAGAAATCGCTGGAAATAACTTTCAAGATTCTGGATTAACCGCTAGGGGCCTTAACCTGCGAAGACAATTTTGAAAACCAGTTTTTTGGGAAATATGTCCAATTATACCAAGTGTTAAATAAGTAAACTAGAAAGAGGCATAAATTCTGCACAAAGTTGTTAAAGTACTTTTTTATTTTTTTAACTAAAGAGTGGGGGAGAGTGGGAAAGTATTTGTGGATAAATACCTATATCTTTAATTTGGTCCAACCGATTTTAATGAAATTAGTGTCATTAGAAAGAGTGTGGATGAATTAATTTACATCTACTATAAAATACTTGCATTTAGTTTTCATTAGTCGTAGGTAGAGGGGACTGTCAAATAAAAAAAATAAAATTTGTTTTTCTTCAAAATTTTTAATGGAAACACTTATTTATTGTAAATTATAATGGAACTAGAATAAATTCGTAACAAAATGGAGCAAACCGCATGTTAATAGCTTTTGTTGAACTCGAGATATGAATAAAAACTCATAAACATAAGTAAGTATAGTATTGACACATCCAGTATTATAAATTACATTAAAAAATAAGTCAGTAGGTATTTTCAAATTTTTTTATAGCAGAAGAATCTTAATGTTGATACCTATTTTGTAAAAAATAGTTTTTTCGAAACTAACTTACACGTATATATTTTGTAAGATATCGTGACAGGAGACATTATGGCAGAGAAGTATTTGAAAGAAAGGCAAAAATATTAAGAGAAACTGGTAGTTTTTCTGGTCCTTGTTTTAAACGACGTAGTAGACTTATGACCGAAGATAATTCAATCAATGTTCTTGCTTTAATTCAACAGAATCCACATATAAGTAGTCCGAAATCTCTACTTATTTGCCACAATATCTCCTGCCAGGATATCTTACAGAATATATACGTGAGACAATAGCGCCATTTTGGTGATATTCGAAATAAACTCCAATCATATCATACAATTTGATATACTCATCACGAATTATTAGTACTGATAATTAATTACTAATATTACCAATATTAATATCCATTAAAAAAAATGCCATTTTCAATTCGAATTATAATACATATAACACTTCTTAACAATATTTTGACTGCTGTCAATAAATAAACAATATAAACTCCCTGTCAAATTCATTGTCGTAGCCCACTTAGTTTCGAAAAAACAATTTTTAATCATATGAAATAACAATGGTCAAAATAGGTATCAACATTAAGAGTTTTCTGCTATAAAAAATTTTGAAAGTACCTACTGACTTATTTTTGTTTTTATTTTATAATACAGGGTGTGTCAATACTATACTTACTTATGTTTATGCGTTTTTATTCATATCTCGAGTTCGATAAAAGCTATTAACATGCGGTTTGCACCATTTTGTTACGAATTTAATCCAGTTCCATTATAGTTTACAATAAATAGGTGTGTCCATTACAAATTTTAAAGAAAAACAAATTTTAATTTTTTCTATTCGAAAGTACCCTCTACCTACGACAATTAAAACTAAATGCAATTATTTTATAAAAGATGTAAATTAACTCATCCATACTCTTTCTAATGACACTAATTTTGTTAAAATCGGTTGATCCAAACCAAAGTTATAGATATTTATCCACAAATACTTTCCAACTCTCCCCCACCCTTTATTTGAAAAAATAAAAAAAAGTACTTGAACAACTTTGTGCAGAATTTATGCCTCTTTCTAGTTTACTTATTTAACACTTGGTATAATTGGTCATATTTCCCAAAAAACTGGTTTTCAAAATTTTCTTCGCAGGTTACGCCCTCTAGCGGTTAATCCAGAATCTTGAAAGTTATTTCCAGCGATTTCTCTTGGCCACTTTTACTAAGGAATTTTTTCTCCTAAAGTTATAACATGAATAGTTTCTGATATATAGCCGAGAGATCGGCTTATTGGACCACCCGGTACATTCAAATCAAATGAATTTTGTGGCATCATTAGTTTAACACATCGTTTTTAAAACTTTTTTTGCCGTTTATCACTTTTTCGAACAGCTAGTTTTTTCCTAGTTGGCCATAAAATTACAATTAGTTTCTACGGATACAATAATTACAAATAGTTCCATCAATAATAGTCAATAATTTAAAGCTATCATTTATTGTGTGAATAAGATTAATATTAAAAATTTTGATATTACGATGTCCTACACATTGTAGGAAATGGCAGATATGCATTTAACTTTGCGTAAGTTGGATCAGATTCAATTATGATTTCAATAAACTATCGGGAATAACTTAGGTGAATGTCAAGGAAATAGAGCAGCAGCTGCAAAGCATTATGCAGTAAAGTACCCTAATCGACATACACCCGATAGACGATTATTTCTGATCATTGATCGTCGTATACGTCAAACGAGTACATTCCAACCGCAAGTTGCTGGCAATAGTGGTCGTCCAATAATGGATGCAACTGATGAAGACATTTTAGAAATCATTGAAGGTCTTTGAAATAAGTACAAGGGTAATAGCTGCTCAACTAAATGTTCCTCGCGTAAGGGTTTGGAGGCGGTTGAAGGATCAGCTGCTTAAACCCTATCACTTACAACGGTTCAAGAGTGATTGGTTGAAGATTATCCTAAAAGGATTGGATTTTGCAATTGATTGTTAATGGAAAACACTCGAAATGTTAATTTTATTAGAAATATTTTGTTTACCGACGAGGCTACCTTCATTAGAACTGGAATAACAAACCATCATAACAAGCACATTTGGGCCGACGAAAATCCTCACGCCAAAAAAACGACTCTTCACCAAAGGACTTTCAAAGTTAATGTTTGGGCAGGAATCATGGATAACAATCTAATAAAATCCACAAGGAAAACAATTCCTGTAGCTGGCTGTATACCACGTATCACAAAAAAAGAGGTTAGTCTTCGTAAGTGGGTATATTTATTTAAAAACCCTTAAAAGGGCTACATCAAGAAAAACAAACGTTTTCGGACTAAACAGTCCATCATCAGGTTTAAAATCTGTAGGTTAAAATGCCTGCTGTTGAAACAGTTTCCAGCTGTTCTCCGTGCGTAGAGGTTTTCTCCCCGGCTCTGGAACTCAATTTTTGCAATGTATGTTACCTGAAGTCATATTTAATTTAATAATGAACATCACAGTTTTCTAACAACAAGATGTATAATCTTTTATAACTATATGTAATCTAAAGCGTTTTTACCCATGTATTTTTGGTGGCTCAGGCATTTTAACCTAGCGATTTTAAACCTGATGATGGACTGTTTAGTCCGAAAACATTTATTTTTCTTGATGTAGCCCTTTTAAGGGTTTTTAAATAAATATACCCACTTACGAAGACTAGCCTCTTTTTTTTAACAATCTAATAGGCCCAGTATTTCTTCCCAACAATTTAAATGGTGATAATTATTTGCAGTTCTTGGCAAACTATTTACAAGAGTATTTGGAAGAAGTGAATTTTGCAATAAGGCAAACTATGTGGTTTGTACAAGATCGCTCTTCACCGCATTACAGTAATGAAGTCTGGGAATACCTTTGCAGGCAGTATTCTGGTCGATGGATTGGAAGGGGTCGTGATGCACCTATTTCTTGGCCACCCGGAAGCCCAGGTCTTAACCCCATGGACTTTTTGCTTTTGGGGGTTTATGAAAGAGAAAGTGTATTCTGTAACAATAGAGGACAAGGGGTTAGAATAATTGAAGCTGTAAACCAATTTCGTCATAAAAATATGATTTTTTAGCGCATTCGGTTTTGCTTATTAAAACGATACCAAATGTGTATTGAAGAAAATGGGGTTCATTTTGAACATTTATTGTAATATCATATTTATAGAGGTTATAGACTTTTTGTGTAATTGTTAATTTATATAAGCCATTTATTTAGCACGTAATTTTTTAATGGTTAATAAAAAGAGCCGTAACACAATAACTGTTTTTTTTTTGAAAAAAATGATGAGGCAAAAAAATTTTAAAAATAATATAATGCCACAAAATTCATTTGATTTGAACGTACTCAAAAGTTTGGGGGGATTTAGGGCTGCACACCCCCCTTAAAATTTTTCTGTTCACTTAGACTTTGTTGTTTCTTTTGTATCAAAAATGCTTTCAGAACAAGAAAGTAACGCGTCCATTTTTATTACAAAATGTCAAGTAGTTTAGGAGATAATGCAAAAAAACAATTTTCATTTTGTAACTTCAAAGGGCTGTATCTTTTTTTGTGTACACTTTTGTACTAAGGTAAGTTGAATTCAATCAATTTATTTTGTCCCCGGAATGCGTGATTTAATTTATGACATACCTTTTTGTAACACCCTGTAAATATTACAGTCTTTTATAGACAGTATATTTATAAATGTCATAAGTTATATATCAGAGATTTTCAACCTGCGGCTGACAGAATACTTGCGAAAAATAGATAAATATTTTTAAAATAGTTTGGAAATAAATTTATAACTAGTCAAAAATTTTGTTTATTTTCAAAAAACCAACAAAGTTAATA